GCCACCCGCGCGCTTCTAACCCGGCGGGGCGCGGTCTCGTGCTGTGGTGGTGGCTTGCAGTGGCTAGCGAGCTGCATGCTCCCTTACTTTAGCAGTCATAACCCTAGCAGCGTTTTTGATTTCTTTGTCGTGCATTCTAAGCCACCCGTAGGAGAGCTAATTAGACTTTTGTCCGCTAAAGTGGTCATGTTTGCGAGACCTTGACGAAATGAATTGCCGAAAGTTGAGATTAGGCGCCTAGAGATAATTGATGAGAGATTCACGCAAGATTTGGTTTCGAGAGCGCGTTTGGGTTGATGAATTCTGTAGACTCGCGTAGATCCGCATCGAGAATGTGTAAAGTTTTGAATAGTGCAGGAATGTGCGAGGCCTGTGAGTGACGCATCGTAAAAAGAGACATCTTCAGACTGTGGCTATCTGTCTATTAGAGGGGAACAGGCGCGTCTTTGCGAAGCGCAGATACAGATACAGGGAGGGCAAACCCGGTGTAATAGCGAATGCTGTGCCCAGTTGGGGTCACGTTCCCAGTGTTTCCCACTTCCATGACTGAACACATCAACTCCAATCTGCTCATCCCCAGTGCAGTAGGTAACTGAAGCGCACCCTATTCGTACCCCTTTATCAGTGGTGTCGATCGAAATTTTATCGAAATCGTTCATCGCAGCTCTTAAACGAGATCCGTTCAGGCTCCAGCGTCGGCGCGGGTCAACAATACTCGGTCGAGTACTTGTCTCAGTTGCTCAAGGATAAAAAACAATTATCTGCCTTTCCAAATGTCTTCCATCACTTGGAACGACTCGCTGATGAAGGTAAGGTCCCTTATGCCTTTTTACTAAAGATTACCACATTATCTGTATGCTCTTTTCAGAAATCAGCAAGGTTCGAGTGGCTCTATTCCAGTTTGAGTTCACGAAGGAAGAGATGAGTCTTCCGGAACCAGAAGGAGAAGTTCAAATCACCACCGAGAAGGTTTTCGTTCCCGCCAAAGAACATCCCGATGTAAGTCACAACAAATCATGTATCTTTCCATTTGATGCACTTATCCTTTTCTCGATACAGTACAATTTTGTGGGACGAATTTTGGGACCAAGAGGAATGACTGCAAAGCAGTTAGAACAAGAGACAGGATGTAAAATTATGGTTCGAGGGCGAGGATCTATGCGTGACAAGAAGAAGGCAAGAGAACAATTTCCTTCTTGATGTGTTTTTGTTTCAACTATACTTTTTAGGAAGAACTGAATCGCGGTAAACCAAATTGGGAG